TGCAGAAATGCGTCTCTCAGCACAGTAGTGTTCTTGCACTTCTCTCAGCACTGATCCTTTAGCACCAGGAACCGTGACAGCTTTTCTCTCCCAACCTCTTATCAAGGGTAAAAGTATTTTTGTCAAGCAAATGAAACAAGTGATTTTAACATTAGCAGTCACCCTCCTTACCTTATGGGACAGTCCTGGAAGGCAAATTTGAAACTCACTGGTCGTTAATACATGTGGTTGTAGTTTATGTAACATGATGTTACAGAAAACATAATATAAAAGTGTCTGTTTGTGTATATTGAATTTTTTTTTGGAAACAAGCTCATCTCCAGTCTTTCTGTGAGAGGCTTCCCCCGTTCACAGATGTTTCCCTGAGAGAGCATCTCCACAAGGACGATCCCAGGCCAGTGAGATTACTGTTCCAATGTATTGTAATGACCAGTGTTTCTCTGAATTTTTCCCCTCAATGAGGAAGAGCAGCCTGGTGGAAGTCTTCCATGTGGTATCCCAAACTCTGTTGTCACTGCCTGGTAATTAAGTTATTCTGGAGCTTGCTAACATTAAGAGACAAGGTTTTCCAGATAGTTTACTGCCTGAAAGATGGGACTTCCTAGGTATGGGTCTAACGAAATCTTTCTTGGTAGTGACTGTCCTATTGGAGAAGGGTTAGAGGTGAGAATGGAAACATCTGGATGGTCTGTAGAAGCAGATGACCTCCAGAGGTCCTGTCCGAGGTAAATAACTCTTATTCTCTTCAGCATATTCACAGATAGTGCAATACGAAGGTGAAAATATATGGAAAAAACGAGGTAAAGATGCAGAAGTAGTTGCTTCTTTAAATGCCACAAATGTTGCAGCCGTTCAGCACTCTTTGGATAATGAGAACAGTGCCTATGAAATCCTTTGGATATGTCAGCTTGCACCAGCCTAAAGTCAGCTTGGTGCAAGCTTGACCATTCTCAAATGGCTGTTAAAAGCCATGCAGTCTTTGGGTTGAGTTGATGGAATGAATTTCTTGTAGGAAAAAAAGCTTGTTCATGTTCTGCTCGCTGTAGTGCAATAGCACCTGGTTTTGAGGTGACACATGATATAATGCATGGCTTTATTCGCTGTGTTCTTTGCTATAGTATGACCCTTTAAGAGGTAGAATACTGGAGGGGACGAGTAGTCACATAGGGTGGGATAGCTCAACTGATCGTAGATGTTTAGAGTGAAGACATCCCATAGTCAATGGGAAGAGACTGACGTTTGTGGGACAAAACTTACCTTACTCAAAGGCTAGTGAGTCATGCTACGGAAATGGCTAATTCCCCCTGTTGGCTATAAAGAGAAGATGAGGTGAATTTGCAAAGTCAGCATATACATCCGTACAAGCTCTAAATTTGGGCAGATAAATCCTGTCCTTAATAGCTTACTGTATTTCTGTTAGGACAACTACACAGTTAATAGGAATGAAAGTGTTTTGTGTAAAGAACGTTTGTACCTGGTGTTAATGGCAGCAATCTATGCAATCTGGCTAAAGAACAATGGTTTTGTGAAGGTCAGGCCAGTCCAACCCTCAGCTTAAGATCAGAGAAAGAGCTACAGCAGACGGCTGGCCTTACACAAGAGTACAACGCTGTTGATGGGGTTGAGAATGAGCAATGCGTGTTGGAGGTCGAAAGATGAGACATAGTAGAAATTTTCAAAGGCTACAGACTAGATATAATCTGAAAGAAAGGTCCTTGCAGGTTTTTTCTACTACAGACTAGATATAATCTGAAAGAAAGGTCCTTGCAGGTTTTTTCTACGTGAACATCACTGAAGCATTTAAATGTCCTGGAAAAGAAGCCTGGTGCCACACCCCAGTGCCTTGGCAGGCCACCAAGTAGTACTTTGGGCAACTGAAATTGGTAAACCACAGAAGCTTAAGGGAAACGTGAGTGGACGAGTGTGTGTTTGTGCTTGCAAGCAGTTTTAGCAAATAAGAATGAAATAATTCTCTCGCCTTGTAACGATCTTGCTTAAATAAGAGAAAACAAGTATTAACATTAAGCACTCCTGGCATTGTAACTATATTTAGAAGATCACGACGTAACGCTTCTTGTTGCATAACTGAGTGAGAGTAGTAGGAATATCGTCTAATCTGAGATCGAGCAGGATGACATAGGGGGATAGGTTCAAGTATTCTCTTACTAAATATTGGAAATCTGTTACTTTAAATGCTTTGTCTCCTAGTTCCCAAGCTGAACCTGTTGGCTGTTACAGCAGGTTTTTAACTGTGAGTTACCTCAGTAGCCATCTGTCAAGCTGCCAAGTGTTTTTCCAAAAAATATCCTCTTGAAGCCAGGTAAGATGACATCTATAAAAGATTCTTGAGATTCTTGGAGACAAATCACTCAGAAATCAGAAAGAATCAGAAAAAGAACTGATTCCTTGACTGTTTTATTTTCCCATCAGGATTCTCCATGAGCTCAGTTATATTGGCCTAGTATGTCTTTGGAGTTCTCTTTCTTGAACCATTGTTGCTGTATCTAAAATAATCCCTCAGTTTTGCCATCTTGACCGTCTGTACGTTGTGCTAGAAGATGTTCTCTGCTGCTACTGTGTCTGAGAAGAAGTACTACTGTGTATTTGGAGATTGCCTGAAGTCTCGTACTTGGCATTCCACGCCTTCCTACTGTGGGCATGATTCTTGTCCAAGTTATCAATTACAGAGTTCATAAACTCTCTTGAGGAGTTGTGTTGCATAATTACTCTTTGGAAAAATTTCCCCCCCCCCTCTGTTTTTAATAGATTAGCTGTTACCTTGATGTTCTGACACAGCTTGGGCGGCTTGCTCTTGTGAAAAGGTTGATGCATAAGTTGACAGCGACTCCTAACCTTTTCTTAGGAAGCGTGACAGCTGTTCCAGTGGAAAGATACCAACGTTGAAAGCTCTCTCTTTCAGGAGGTTTGAGTGTACTTCCCTCCTTCTCTGCCTCCCTCCCTCCCTCTCTGCTTCCCTCTCTTCTTCATTAGGGAAAAAAAAAAAAAAAAAAGAGGGACAGTTAGAACCTATTTACCTTGGCCCAAGGTGGAGATCATCTGTGAACTCAATTCTATCTCTTTTCTGCTCCCCATATAGCTCACTGCTGCTGATTTTTGCTACGTTTACAGCAAGTGTGATGCTGTTATTTGGGAGCACTTTATTTTGGTGTCTGCCTGGAGGGTTTCTTTGCTGTTTCAGTCTTCCTTTTGAGTTAGTAAGCTCCTTCCGAGGTTGGATATGATAATGTTTACGTTTTACCTAACCTCATCCTGTATAGTTGTTAAAGAAGCGGCTTAGTATCTCTGGGACCTTTCTCATTTAACCGTTTTATAGAGAAATACTGTTGCCTGTATGTTGCGTTCTTATTGGTGGTTCTGGATAATTTTTTTCCAGCATGATTTCTTTAATTTCTCTGCAGTTCAGGAAAGGTGGTTGTTATGCAGATCGTTACTCCTATTCAGTGATCGGTACGGCAAAAGCATTAATGAAGTCAGAAGGCAGCTTTGAGAGCTGTTCTCTGCTTAGGTCAGGAGAGTAGGTTTCCTTCTAACGATCCGAGAGAAAGGAACCTGGCCGAGACTTGGATCGCTTACGGAAGTCTAGTCTTAAAGATTCAAGTTCGTGTACAGTATGATAATGTTGGCTCTTTGAAATGTTCGATGTAAATTATTGTAGGCAGAAATGTAGGCAGAGCTGATGTCTTCTGATGCAGGCTAGAAATCTTGCAAACTTTTAAAAATTTAAATTGATGCATTATAATACTAAGCAAGGTTTAAAGGGAGCTTCTTTCGGATATCGCATGACCCACTGGATTTCACGTGGGTGGCTTTGCAAACTTTCAAGCTTATTGTAACTAACAGCAGCAGACTTGTTATTTTTAGCCTACCGGTAATGGTACCTGCTACTTTTTTGGATACTGATCCCATTGATGGTAAAGTTCTGTATTCCTGAGTCCTTTGTGGAGAGTAGCCCTTCGACACAGAGTTTTTAAAAAGCAGATGTTGCAAATACTGTATTTGTGGTCTATTCAGATTACTGAACTGAGATTCGAGTGATCACAATTGCTACTTCTGTGTTATCTGGATCTGGAGCATTTCCATAGGTATAGGCACATCAGCTATGTCCAGGTTCTGTGCCAGGAGAAGACCTAGACAAGAACCATCACTACTTACCGTAGATTGCCTTCACACGGAAAATAGGCTTGTGGGCAAGAGAGAAGCCATAACGTGCTCAAGCACGTATCGTTGAGGTCAGAGCTTTGAGGAGCACCGCTGCCTGGATCTCCTTCATGCTTTGCAGAACTAGTGCTCACAGGCGACTCTCCTGAGAATGACGACATAACCTTAACTTTTGATTCAGAAAGTGGAGGGAGGAGGGTTAATAAATTTGACGATCAAGAAATATGGTTACAGGTTCTTCTGTGGCAATCGTATTAATTGTTTCAGTCATATTAAAATGCGTTATTTTGTACTGATTACCTTGTAAAATCAGGAGTTTCAAAACTACTGGGATAGGAGAAGAAATGAGACTTTTATTGTTTCTGTTTTTTCCCTTGCAGCTGTTGCTTGAGTGAATGTTAATCAACTAAAGCTTAGTACGATCTTGGCATTTTAAGCCATATGCTTAAATTGGACACTCGTGACTTGTATTCATTACAGATTTTTTTTTTTAAATGTCATGAATTAAAGGGAGAGGGATAATCTTATGTTTAATATCAAACCAGAAACAAATTCGAGGTTAGGAAGCATACCTTTTCTGCTGCAGCAGAAAAGGTATTTGTTCCTCAGAGGTTTTCACTTAGAATATTCACATAGCAAAATAAAAACAGAACCAGTTTTGGGTTTTGCTAAGCATTTTAACCACTTTGTGCAAGTTTTAGGTTTTTTTATTTTGAATACTAGCTACCTGATGATGCTGTGTTTTTCCTAGTAACTGTGGAAATTCTTCTGTATGCTAGGTTAAAAGTAAGGATTTGTTTAGTTGTTTGGTCTTTTTGCAGGTAAAGAAAGCCTTCTTTGCCTTGGTGGCAAACGGTGTTAGAGCAGCTCCACTGTGGGAGAGTAAAAAACAGAGTTTTGTAGGTAAGTAGATCTAACACTTTTTAGGATTATTTGAATTTTCAGAGTGCTTCGTTGCTAGAGAAGGTGATAAAGGCTAGCCATGGTCTAACGGCCTACAGATGTAGTGGTGAAAAGTTTATTTTACTCCTTCCTCATAAAATACCACAGGTAATGTTGAATGCTACAGATATTATGTCTCCAGAGTGGGGGGTTGGAGGGGGGAACACATTAGCTGTGTGTTGTTTGAGTCTCTAACTCTCTCTAACGTTACCATAATAATATTATTCTAAGATTAGAGCTGTGTTGCAGCTGAAAAAAAGGGTCATAGTGACAGTTAAAAATACTATTATGAATACTTTTGTGTGGCCTGGAACATGGATTGAGGGTTCTTGGAAATGAATGGGAGATTCTTTTATATAAAATATTTCTTACAGTATTTTGAATCCATGGGGGAGGGAGCAGTAATTTTGTGTGGTGCATCTCAGGAATGCTCTGTACCTTAATTTGCATTTAATTTCAGTTTCTGTCTGTAACCAAGTTCTAGTCAATTAAAGCTGACCTCTGAAATAATTTTTCCCTTCCCCGTCTCTTAGCTCTCTTCAGTTTAGATGTAATTGCTCCACTGATTACTACTCTTACATCTTATCAAATTTAGTACTTGAAAGCTCAAAAAAGATTTATATTTTCAGGTAACTAACTATCAATATTATTTTCAGTAGCTTGGTGTTAATGGTTAAATTGTGTATAGTATGGATGTACTATTTCTAAAAAGAAGAAAAGTCATATCCCAATACAGACATTGGGGATTACAACAGAAATGATTGAGTAAAGTTCTTTAACAGGTGATGATCAAGAAAATGGATCATACTATTTATTTTCTTCTTGAGTTAAATTCTGAGAGTCTCCCTGACTTGGCAAGTACTTAGTGGGAATGCATTTTGAACAAAAAGAAAATTAAAGGCAATGCTAAACCTTAAATGCGTTTTGAAATATCTTTTCTTTCCATTCCTTCGAGGCTGGATGCAGTCTGGGTTCGAGGTTTTGAGTCAGTTTGAAAAATAGGAGGAGAAGCACCTGGATTGTTGCTTTGAATATTAATTCAGACTCATATGGTTTTTATTCTGAAATACTGTATCAACGTGAAAAAGGAATATGCGTAGTTTTGGGATGATTGTCTATTTGTATTGAACTAACCAACAACATACGTTACACAGATTTAATGTCTATTAAATTATGTATTGTAAATAGAGGAAATATCTGGAATTTATACATCTTAAGTATATATCTGAACTTCTCTTTTTTTATATTTCACTTGTTACAGGGATGTTAACAATTACAGATTTCATTAACATACTGCATAGATACTATAAGTCTCCAATGGTAAGTAGTACCATGTGAAGCTATACTTTCATTGGTTGCCATATAGTACAGATACTGAAACTTTGAACTGTTGTTTGAAGGATTGATATTTGTGAAGTCTCTTGAAGCTTAAGTAGTCATGAGTGTACTAAGTTGGTTTTTTTTTTTTTTTAATATGTTGCTGTGGTAAAGGTAATAGAATAGTATCTGGACATCTGGTTTTAGTTCCCAGCTTTGCTGCGGGCATCCTATGAGCTTGGGCAGGCAACTGGTTCAGTTATACATTTATAAACATGAGAACTTTTTTTTTTTTGGGATGGGGGTGGATTTACTAGGCATAACTAGCCTTGGTTTTGGAGACTGGGCTCTAAGTAGTGTTACAGTTAGTGCCTAATGTGTTTAGGATGAAGGGCATAGCTAAAATACTTTTTATATTACATTTAATTTTTAAGTAAATATGCAGGGAAAATAATTATTGTTTCTGTCCAGGTTGTTTCAAAGTACCTGGTTGCTTCATGAGTCATAGTAATCGGAAGTCTTTATAAATGGACAGCTTCAACCAAAAACTGCTTTTTGGTTTTAAAGTTACATGAAGTAGTTCATCTTAGTTAAAAACCAAATATGTTAATTATGTAGTAGTTCAGATGTTTATATATAAAGTTACCTTTGGCCCCTAACTACAGTAGAGGTTGGGGCCTTATTCTGAAAGGAGTATGCAGGGTTAAGTAGAATTCTAATTTACAGAGGCTCAGATCGATTAAAAGGTTGCTCTGTTGGAAAGATGCCGTAATATGAACAAGTGAAACTAGTTAAATATATGTAAATATTTTAGTTGCATGGCTGAGTTGCACAATCAGTTTGAGATCTCTTGACTTCAATTAACTGTAATTTAAAATTCCCATTGGCAGTCTGATTAAATTCTCACTTACGTGTTGATACAGACATTTACGTGCCTGTCTTGTTCTCGTCAAATCACGATTCCCCCCACTACCGGTTAAAATATACCTACTATGTTTTATTAGCTAATAAATCAAGGCCGGCTGGGTAAAAGTGATAACTGATGTAGGAGGCTTTTCAAGGCTAGCTGATCAAGTTCATTTTATGGTTTGTAATGAAATATCTTGTCAGATGCGTGCAGATTTTTTTTTGTAATAGTAAGGAAGGACAACACACACAGAGAACCTCTTAATGATTCTCAGCCTTCAATAAAACCAATTTTCTCATATAATTTTACTTAAGGTCTACATGTTGTCACTCCTATTTACGTTGTCCAGCATCTTATTCCATAAGTTGTGCTTAAAGTAGCCTCTGTGCAGAGAAAGGGGGAATAGTTGAGTAAAGTGCCAACGTTTAACTGAAGTGATGCAGTCTTCTATAAAAGTAGTAAACCATCTGTTCTGTATCGGGAGGTCCTTCAATCCTAATAAGAACTGTATATTCAGCCTACTTTTGCCCAAGTGTTTTAGTTGTTCTTTCTAAAATTCACACTATATGTGATGTAACATGCTGCTGTACATGTGCATGTTTAAATGATTGATGAGGAAAATTCAGGGAACTTCTGCTTAAAATGTGGTCGAAGTACTAGGTTTAGCCTCATCTCATCGGCCCCTAAGGAGTTTTGTTAAAAGTCGCTGGCGTGATCATTTGAATAGACTGAACTGCCCTCCTCTGTCTTATCTGCCTTTCTTTTGGCAAGTACCCTAAAAGACTCTCAAGGGTGGTTTGATGTTATAGCTGAGCTGACCTCGGGGTTAGGTGCCATCAAAAGGTGCAGAGTTAAGATGTCCTTTGTCTAGTATCGTGTGTTTATCTTTGCTGTGGGTCCGTTAAGGGAGCTAAACCATCAGAAAACTGATAACTTTTTTGGTCGCTTTATTTATTTTTTGCCTATTTGCTTCCTTGAACCAGCTCAACACAGATCAAGTGAGCGTCGTTGCTGGCACGGGGGAGTTGCTGAGAGCGTGCCTAGTTTAGATGCAGTAGCGAAAAACATTTGAAGAATTTAACCTCAGTAAAATGTTAAACTTAAGAAAAAATTGTGGTTTTTGTAGCAGCGGTGGTTCTTGAAGGCTGATGGAACTGATTATTAAAGCCAGTGCTTTTGCTTATGTGTAATCCAGCAACAGTAAAATTCATCTCTCTGCGCGTTAACAAGTCAAGTGTTCAGGGTGAGCTCTTTACTGGTTTGATTGTGTTAGGTATCATCAGAGGGTTTACTCTGGCGTGTTTATTTTAAGAGGGATAAACTACCTGAGGGGATGCCTGTAAGTCTAGAAAAGATTTCCACTGCAAACGTAACTTCTAAATGCGTAAAGATAGGTGGAAATCTTTCCTGGCCCCAGAGATGATAGGTCGAGTATGCTACCCTGCATGGAGCAGGATTGCCCCTTTCCGCTTGATATTGCCAATAAATGTTCTTTTTGACTGGGCAGTTAGTTACCAGGAATTGTTATTCTATGTCTTGCCTGCAATAAAATGTAAGGCAGTTATTCAAATCGAAATGATACTGCTAGTAAGTTGGGGTTTGAAATTAATACTTTGAGTTATAACTTAACATCTGTCCTTTGTAGGTTCAGATCTATGAACTGGAGGAGCACAAAATAGAAACCTGGAGGGGTAAGAATATTTATTACTTGATTGCTAATTGAAAATTTCCTAATCTTTTTTTCAGTGATAGATTTTCATTTAATCACAAACTTAGCTTGTCTCTCTGCACATACTATTTCTGTTTTCATCGGAAAGTAAAAGTTTGTCTACTTGCTCCTGCTGCTTATTTTTTCCCACTAGAAACAGCGTGTAAACTAGGGTACTATGTGCTGCATACTGATTCACTGCTCTTGCATGATAAGCACCATCTCACTTTTTTTTTTTTCCTTTCCTTTGAGAAAGCTGTATTCTGAGTAACAGCTGAAATTTAACATTCTTGTTCTTCTTATTCAGAAGAACTATAAGAACTGGGTCAGACCAGTGGTTCATCTGGCCCAGTATCCCTTGTGAGACACTAGAACTGGTGTTTAGGGAGAGCACACAAACCTGACCACTTCTGTGATCCTTTCCCTTTGCACTTCCCAGTGTATACAGCTACTGTCTTAGGTATGTTACAGCCCCTGCCCTGTCCTCTTAATAACCATTTGTGGACCTGTTATCCTTAAATTTGTCTGATCCCTTTTTGAACTTGTTAATACTGTCTGCTTTCACAGCCACCTGTGGCAGCGCGTTCCAGGTGTTCACTGCTTGCTGTGCAAAGTGAGGTTTTTTGTGCTTTAAACTTAAAGTTCACTAGTTTCAGTGGGTGCCCCGTTGTTCATGTATCATGGGATTTGAGGAGCAGTTCCACATTCATCTTGCTCCCTTTTTTTTTTTTTTTGAGGTTTTTTGTAAATCTCAAACTTCTCTCCAAGCAGAAGAGTCCCAGTCTAGTTTCTCTTCATAAGCTCCTCCATCTCCTTGGTTAATTTGGTTGCTCTTGTATTAATTTAAAAAAAAAAAAAGGGGGGGGTGGGAAGGAGAAAAAGAAACTGGAGTAAGGGGGTGTGTATGACTGTAGAGCTGATGCACATGGCCAGAATGGGAGCGTATACGAGCCAGGATGCAAGAAGGAATGGATGAGAGTATGTATTGAGTGAACTGACAGGTGAGCAGCAAGCTGCGCCTGAGTTGCGGGATGTGAATAGAAATCCGTAAATATGGCTGGGTGTGAAGTGCTGAATTCAGGGAGTAAGTTTTAGGGAGAAACTGGCCATCTGCCGTGTTACGTGTACAGAAGTACTCCATGAAAGTTTATGCAGCAGAGTCTTTCAGAAAAGAGGGAAATGGTAAAGTAAGATTGTTTCTGTTATTGTAGTGACCCCTGGTGGTGGTATTTCCCTTGACTCAGTTTAATGCTTGTTTTAAAACCATTTGATTGTCATCTTAATGTCTCTTTAATATGAGGAATATGCATAAGCTGGTAGACGATCTAAAATAATATATTTGTCTTTCATCTGCTTAGTTTTGTGCTAAAATTCATAAAAATGGTAATGCTTTCATATAAAATGGTAATGTAGTATTAATTTTCTGTACACAGAGCTTTATTTACAAGAGACTTTTAAACCTTTAGTGAACATCTCCCCAGATGCAAGGTAAGAGTTTGCTTTTCATTCTGCTTTACTTTAAATAATCTAACTCCTTCTCAATACTGGATTTAAGACTGCTTTGTAGAAAAAGAAACAATGAATACTGTAAACGAGAATACAACAACAAATGAATGTCTTCTAATATCATCGAGAAGGCATAGGTGCATTATATTATATGTGAAGACTTTTTTTTTTTTCAATTGCTCAAAGAGACCTTTTTCTTTGCCTTTTGTCCTTTATCAGTCTATTTGTTCAGGTAAACGAATTAGACACATGCTAACTGAATCAAAATTAATTGCCCCAAAATATGCCTTTTTTTGCATATTTTGCAAATAGCCTACTCGTAGCCTACTCGTCATGTATGTTTTCATGAAAAGTAAAAACTGTAAAGAGCCTTTTAGCTGACTTGCTTTCCGTCAGTCATAATCATGGAAAACTTCCTGTACTTTCAACATGAGTAATTTCCTTTTACTAAGGGAAAGATAATATCCATGCTTTTTGTTTTACTTTGCTACTAAGTTGTGTTTATTAACACGTGAATGACTGTCCTTAGTTCAGTAGGTATATTTTCATTTCAAATTCCTTCCAAACAGTAGTTTTGAAACGGCAATTATACCTTAGTTAGCAAAGGTAACTTGAGAGAGAAATTTAGCAGATCACTTTATCATTCTCCTGTTCTGTGATTTAGTAGTACTGAAGTTAACTTCTGATGCTTACCTTCAGTTTCTGGACTGAAACTGCTTATGTCGCGTGGAAGAAAACCAATTAAGGGAGCAGCAGGGATTTCACGAAGTAATGATTTACTGTATGCTGAGTAGGAATGTGTTTATGTTGTAACTGGTCACAGAGCATACCATAAGAGAATGAAACAGAGTAAATTACTTTCAGTCAAAGGTGCAGCAGGGGAAGCATTGGAAAAAAAATAAGATGCAGTAGAACATACGTAAAAAGGTATTGCAAGTTAACTTAAAAGCTGATCCAGAAGGAGACGTGGGCTCTGCGGCAGTCAGACTGCAGCGCTTACCTCCAAGTGCTTGCTCCAGGAGTGGAATGTGCAGGGCAGTGTCGGGAATTTAGGCTCCATGTACGTCAGATGGGGATAGTTGATTCATGCAGTGGACTCATAACGCGAAGGATATTGTGTGTGGGTAGAAGCCTAGGCCAGCAAGTAGGCATTTATCAAAGTTCTTATGAATTTTATAACGTACTAATTTATTGTAAGTGGTCGTCAGCTGTTTTTATCAGTCTTAATAAGACAAAGAAGAAAATCAGTGGTACTTCTAAGAAGAATAGCTTTATATAGGTTGAAATATTGATAAATCATAGTCTGCAGTTTTTAGAGGAATATCTCAGATCTCCTGAGAATAAATTCACTCCAATTCCCCAATGGTAACTTAGTGGAATGATTAGATAATTGTTTTGGCCTACTTGCTTATGTACCTATGTTCATAAAAAAAAAAAAAATACTTTAGGAAAGCGTTATAGAAGGAACTGCTGTTGGTCTGTCTCAAGTGCTCAGAAGGAGACAGTAAGGAGGGATTGGGCTCTGCCCCTCCACCCCCACCACAATGGTATGTTCAGCATGAGATCAATATGCGTTGAATGCAGGAGAACTGTGATTTGCGCTGGTTTTGTCTCTGACAGAAGTATCCTTTCCGGGCAAAGGGATTCTGTCAGCACGACAGTCACTGGAAAAAAATTAAGACATGAGACTTAGGAAGGAATGTTTCTGCTTTCCTTTCTACCATAGAAAGTAACTCTTCCTCTTGTTTCTTACTAATATTAAATGTTCATGAGTATATTATTGTAGATTTGTTTACCAAATGCAAAAAGCCTTAAAGATGGTGCAAATAATGACCCGTCAGTTGTACTTTATGTGGGTTTGTAAATGTGTGTGTATATTATTTAACATTGCTCATTGTCAGCCAGAATTCATTAAAAATTTAATGTCTTCTCCTCAGCCTTTTTGATGCTGTATATTCATTGATCAAAAACAAAATCCACAGATTGCCGGTTATAGATCCTGTCAGTGGGAATGCACTTTATATACTTACCCATAAAAGAATTCTCAAGTTCCTCCAGCTTTTTGTAAGTATTTAAAGATGTACTTTCCTTTAGTGTTTTTTTTTTTCAGTACACATCTATAATATCAAGTAATTTAAAGCTTAGAGTGGAAACTTGGTGATAACCTTCCATATTCAAGCGCTTCAGTGTGTGCCTGTGTGTCTGTCTATTATCTTTTCCTCGATAATAGAGAAAGTAAGCTTGATGTAGGAACTGTCTGTTACTTTTATCTTGTTCTAGTCATGTAGAAAAAGGTAAATGCCAAGACAAGCATCTCTAGCACTTGAGTATCTTGCTGTCCTTTCTCGAAGAACTTTGCAGGGCTAGAAGCTTGCCTGATTACGTGAACAGAATAGCCAATTTGTCTCGCAGACTAGTATGTTAGTCGCAGGAATGGATAGGAGACCAAACAAAGCAATATGAGTTTGAAATAAGTGTGCACCATATAGTATCTTTTGCTGTCTTTTCCGTTTCAGTGGAAATAATGACACAACTTAGGATCAAAAGCTTTTAGTGGTTTACCACGAAAACAGACTTATAAGTAAAAATTCAGATTTACGTTATCTTAATTTAGAGCTACTTTGAATGGAAGTAATGCTTCTAGGTCTGAGCTTGTTTTGGTTTTACTTTGATCTAGTAATGGGTTATTGTAGCAACCTGTCACAGTCATTTGGGTTCTGTAGATGGATGCATGAATACCGATTTCCTCACGTAAATAACTATCACACCAAGACCTCGTTAGTAGCCGTAATGTATCTTGCAGAAGACTGCCCTGTAAATACGTTCATTCTGACCTTCCTAGATGTCAGAGATGCCAAAGCCTGCCTTTATGAAGAAGAATTTGGATGAACTTGGGATAGGAACTTACCACAACATTGCCTTCATACATCCAGACACTCCTATCATTAAAGCCTTGAATATATTTGTAGAGAGAAGGATATCGGCATTACCTGTTGTGGATGAGTCAGGTATGTGTTGGGTCTTCTGTATACAAAAGTGTGGTAAGGTAAGTGGTGGTAAAATACTGGTTTGATAGATCAGGTTAATTCTTTTGTTGTTGTTATTCCCATCGGGAAAGAAGAGAAAGGGAATATAACGAAATATTTATGTAAGACCCAGGTTTATGGGCCTGGAAGAACTCATTATGGTTTACTTTTTGCTCTTGCCTTCTTGATCTGTCTGTTTTGATTCTATGTAATGTCAGGTAATGAATGATTGTGGGATGCAAGAAAAATAACTTTGTATTTTAAACACTCTGTTAATGTATGTTTTTCTTTTTAGGAAAAGTTGTAGATATTTATTCCAAATTTGATGTAATAGTAAGTATATATTTTAAATTTTATAAAATTTTTTATATATGTAGTATTTTAAAATGAATTCATTTATTTGTCTTTCAGCTATTTCATTCTTTAGCCTTCAATTAATGAACTGAAGAAAAAAAAAATTCACCCTGTGCAGCATTTAAAAATTAATAAACAAAAAAGGAGCTTTTAAATTGTCCTTCGTAATACTACTTACGCACAGACATCTACTGCTCTGGACATTACCCAGAGTTAGATCTGGCTTTACCGTGACCAAAAAGGGCATAGGCTTTTTTGTATTTGTGTCTCTTCCTGAGATTGGACTTGCTTTTCCCAGCTGCTGCCATTCTGCAGTCTGTTTTCAGGGAGTGAATGCAAATTTCCTCCTGCAGTCTTGACCTTTTTCAGTGTATTAAAATTACTTGGCATGTTCTTTTGTGTGGGTCTCTGGATCCAGAGTGTTGCGTCTGTATTCCTTCTGCTTTAGATCTAGTTTAGGCCAGTATCCTTTTTTTTCCGCAGAAGTGCAACAGTGTAGTCGGATTGATGCCGTAACATCTCAACCTAGAGGGCAAAGGCTCTTATATTCTTGTTATCTTCAGAAACTTGAAAATCTGATTCTCTTCCCCCGCCCCCCCCTTCCTCTCTTCTCCTTTCTCTCCCCTGTGCAACTGCCTCCTAATTGGGACTTTTGTTAGCTATATTATTTTTAGAGACCTAAGTGCCCCAGTTGCTTGCTCCATCAGCCCGCTAGTGATAATGAGCAATCCAGATGTCTGAAACTCTGCACAGAATGCTCTCAGAAATATGGAGGACAGTCCCAAATGGAAAATAGTTCAAGCTTGTAAATATTTCTGGTTGCAAACAGTGCTCCTAATGCTGAACGTTTCAAAATGTCAGTGTTTCTCACTGTCTTCAGTTCTAGCCTTCTGTCCTTCTGTTCTTATATAGATTATCTTCTACAGAAGATACTGTACTGTCATAAAGGTTGGCCAGGGAGTAGCTAGAGATGTAAAAGCAGTTTTCTGACATATCTAAGGCCATGAACGTTCACAGTTACTAGGTTCAGTGTTTCAGTTTAATTTTGCAACTTCATTGGTTCTTGAGACAGGATGTACTTCCTTTATTCTCTGTCCCTAGGAGGGGCACCAAAAGGGAGAGGTTCCTTAGATGATACTAAGAAGCAACTACCGATAAGAAATGAAAAATGTAAATCTAAGTAATGAGACAATCAAATTTCTATAATTTTTAGAAATGCTGGATGTTTTAATTGGAAAAAGTATGTATTGCGAGCCAGAAAAAAAACACAAAGGCTTAAGGATATAGTTTACTGCTAGCTTGTAACCTAGGAAAGAGTTAGGGTATCTGTTCATCATTTGTCCAGAGTGAGTTTTTCCTCGTATACAGTAGTTTGCTGATTAACCAACAGGGGGAGAAATTCATATTCTGTTCTTTACAATGTGGCATCCTTGACCATCTTTTGTGTGTGGCTGCGCTCTTGAATATCTTAATGAAAACAGGAAATGGCAGGCAAAGCAAGTAAGTTGTTGCGTATCTTCAGACTGCTTCATTTTTAAAACAAGATAATCAGCTATGACCTGTGAGGTTTCCAGTCTTTCATCGGGCTGCTTCAACCTATCTTTAGATTTGTTTTTTGTTTTAAAGCTTGGAAAGTACAATCTGAGCTTTCAGTGACCATAGTATTTGGAAGATTCGACTGGTGGGTGTGGTTTTCTTTTTTTTTTTTTTTTAAACCTTTAACTAAACTTGTCAGCGACATAGTTGAATCAGTGTTTTAAATTATGTCTGTAAATACAGTTAGCTAAGCTAATAGACTTTTTTTTTCTTTCTGAGTTCTGTGTATCAATTCTGCAGTTCTTGGGAGAGGAGAAGGAATGGTGTGATGCTATAGAAATAGCTTTACATTACGCTAGATGTGTGTAGGTGACTTAAGTTTGGATGGGCTTTTTGTGTTCTCATGATGTCCACCATTAAGAATTTGGCCTGAACTAAGCTATTTGTATCTTTGATCATCTCAAAACTATCTTGTAACGCTTAAGTGTTACTGTTTAACCAGTCTTAAAACTTGACCACTCACAATAAGTTCCAGCCAAAAATTAACGCCGCTTAAATGAAAACACTGGACCAAGCAAGGAAAAGGTCTGCCTTTGTTCTTCCTTTAATGCTTCACTGGACAAAATTAATAGGCCAAGATGTGCCAACGCTATCAAAACATTGCTATAGTCTATAAAAAGACTTCTCTACAGTCTTAAGCTTAAAAGAATATACGTTTGCAGCTTGTCACTTGTGACTTAAATCTTGATGTCACTAGGAGTCCAGTATGCATAAATCCTCTGAGTAACTGAATGTAAACAAAGTCAACATTTTAGATTGTGTGAAAACAATGAAATGTGCATTTATATAATGTTCATGAGTAGTAATCTGCGCCGCCAAGAATGCGAAACTTGAGCTGGTGTCTCGGTAAGTCCCTTGCAGGCAAACTGTTACTGTTGCAGGCATATGTTAATTTTATACAGAATTTGGGCCTTGGCTGAAAAATAGTTCATAAAAGCACAAGCAAGCAAGCATAGAGAAAGCCTGACCTTTTTATTAGATTGTTAAGGTTGAAGTTTAGGCAGCTTTGAAGTTATTTGCGGCCAGTTTATATGGAATTGCTTCTGTACTGATACCGAGTGTCTTAGATAACACTTCTTCCCTGTTTGCTGTGTTTCTACTGAATAATTATATTCACGTCTTCTCTTGCATGACCTTTTAGCCTGCTTTCCTGAGCAACACTCTTACTTCTGTATTCTTTCTACTTTGAATTTCTTTTCTTGGGAACACAAGCAACTACAGTTGTACGTGGTCTTCGATGTGACGTTTGTTTAGTGTTTTGTTTGTTGGCATTAATTTTGCTTCATGTCTTCTGGTAATACAGAATAATTGTTATGTCTTTCTGGCTGCAAACGATTGTTGATAACTGTCCTCTGATTGAATAGCTAATGCATCTAGGTTTTTTTCCTCCTCCGTCAGATCAGATTGATACCTTTGATATAGCAAAAAGGATATATTAGATCCTAGATAGATACGTAACCGTATTTTTGATGATATTGCACCCTGTTAACACTATTTAAGTCTTCAAGGTCATCTACTTTATATGTAATAATCTGATCTGTTCTGATGATACCACCAGTGTTGTCTCATCTGCAGATGTCATTAATACCTTCTTGCTTAGGTAGGAGAGGATCTTCCATCTCTTCTTCAAGGAGAGCCTTTGCTGCTCTGGAGTGCTCTTACTACAAGCATGGTCCTGTTCTTAAAATAAAAGCCTTGGAGCTTAGCTTTCGAATTCTGTAAAGCTTCTTACCTTAAGTGGTGTTGATGGATTTTTGTTGTTGGCATATAATTTTCAACTTAAATTACTTTCTGGTGTTTAAGGGCAGTGCCAGCACAGTCCAGGAGAGGGAGCGTGAGCTCGGAAATAAGAAGAAAGGTGAAGGAAACCTCTGCTTAGAGCTCTGCTGTGACCTTCCTTATGGGTCATGTTCAGAGCAGTGCGTGTCCTCCCCTATCCTGTGAAAAACAAAAAAGAAAGTAAAAGCTGCATTTTCTTAAAGTCTCTAAAATCTGTAGAACTTGATCCTTATCCTGCTTTTGCACAAGGAGTAGAGAATATGAGTGACATAAAGTCAAATGCCCGATAGCAAATAAGACAGCTTTCATTGGCCTAATGCGTATCACAAAACATACTATTAATTAATCCAGTCTGTCATATGGTATTTAATATAATTGCATGCTTCACTGTTCCTAAAACTGAAACTGAAGAACATTTACTTTGTTTAATATGTGACTTGCAGTAGGCTCAGTCTACAGCAGAAATGTGTGTCTCCTTAATGCCAAAATATTTACTTTATTGATTGATGGTGAGTACTGAGGTGTGCTATGTGCCTTGTTTTTCAGAATCTTGCTGCTGAAAAAACATATAATAACCTAGATATCACAGTGACACAAGCCCTACAGCACCGTTCTCAGTATTTTGAAGGTGTTGTAAAGTGTAGTATGCTGGAAACACTGGAGACCATTGTGGATAGAATAGTGAAGGCTGAGGTAAGTTTGCTTTTCATTTTTTCCACTTCACTTTAGGGTAGAAGTTGCATGACTGAACGAATAAACAGTACAAATGCAGCCTTTCAAAGTCACTTTGGTTACTTGAGGCAAATGTTTTTCGTATCTGTATGTGTAGGTATCGGCTTGATTTTAGTCTTAGATCATAGATATTTATAGGGATGTTCAAAATAGCATTATATTGTACATCCATAGTCATACTTAGTTACTTATGTATCTTGTGTCTTGGGACTTTGAACTGAACACAAAGTTTTTTGGAAAAGTCAATTTTTTTTCCAGTCTTGCCATAAGCTTTACAGGCAACCAAACAATTATTTAAAGTCCAGCTTATAGTTAGGTTGATGTGGCCTATTATTCAGGAAATCTAAGGGGTGCGATTAGTTAACACACACGCAGTGCTGCTCTGGTGTATCAGCAGTGCTACAACTCTTCACTGTGGCTAATTTTTATTAATGTCCTCAGAGACTTTAAATATTTTGGTTTTAAAACCCACTCCTACCCTTTAGTGCAGTCTAAGTGTAGTGAGATTATTTATAAAAATAGGTAAGTCAAAATTACAAGGTAATAATCGATGCTGTTTTCAGCTGCCATAGGAACGCTTGATTGTACTGGAAATGAAACAAGCTGTCCATTTTTCTTGAGCTCGTTACACTGAGAGAAGAAAAAATGATTAAATATGTGTAACGTACAGAAGCTAATAACCCTGTCTGAAGCATCACTGACACAGCTTTATCAAAAAGGCAAAATGTAGAAACAAAATCTCCCCTTTTCTCCAATTCTGTCAGGTGGGGTAAAACTGTTTGAATATTTCAGAGCTCTTTTCTTGTACCTGACTGGTAATGAAGTGGTTGACTTAGGCCATAAATGAGCGTATCTGTTAGAATCAAGACCGCTTGTGCTTTCGTGCTATCATCTCTGTGGTGAAGATGAGGACAAATTTTCTCTTCCCTTAACAATACTTGATAAATTTGATTTCCCAGGCTTCTGCAGCGTTGATGACGCAGTATTGAGGCTGTACTGTTGCTTCACGTGTAAAGTCAGCTTTCTGGAGAATAATGCCAGCTCTTTCCAAATAGTGCTGAAAAGAGCAACCTCTCCACTTGCCTTTTTAGTCTCTCTGTCATGTTTCCTGGGGGGGAAGAGTGGAAACAGAAAATAGATTTGAGCAGTGATTGGGAGGAAATCATTAAATGCTGTGTTTTAACATAACTGCTTTATTCAACTAAGTTTGAAATATGGCTTCTTTTATTAAATTTAATCTAGTCATCTCTTCAGGCTTTCAGCCAGGTAGCATACTTAGGTTGGTGTTAAATTTGATTATTTGAACTTCGAACAGTGAAGGGAAAGATAATCCACTTGTGTAACAAGTAAACAAGTGGTAGGTTCTCAATTTTTCACAAACAGACTTTTGAGGATCACTTATGAGCTGGTTCAGCTGCGACGTTTAGGTTATAAAACTCTGGGCCAAGTTGCCCTGGGCTCCGGTGCAAGGGCTGAGATAGGACACGCCGAGTTTTACTACAGTCTGTCACTGCTGTAGCCCACTTTGGCCGGTGATCTTCAGGATATAGCATTACCACCTCCTTTAGAAAATGAAAGCATTGCTACAGACAAAGATTGTTTAAAAACAAATGAAAAAGCCCCTAACACAAGGTCTGAAGTTTTACAGTGGGAAATGTTTCATAGAATAGATTTGTAGGGATAAGTTCATTATTTAAAAAAAAAAAAAAGTCTTGTTGATAAATCTAATTTTGTTCCAAGTTTTATCCTTTTCTCCTTGATTAACTCCACGCTGAGTTTGCATAGTTAAATGAAATCTTTTTTTCTGTCTTCACACAAAATTGTGATATTTAAAAAGGGTCTGGCATTCAGCCTCATTTGTGTACCCTTATGAGAAAGCTCTGGTTAAGCACCGTTTGGACATGTCAAGGTTAAGCAAGTTTGTGGTGTGCATCTCCTCACTGCGAGTGTTTCTCAGAATGAAGCTTGATTCTGAGATCCTAGGCTAGAGCTGAGCAGAGCCTGAAGTTGCGAGTGTGTTGTGTTCCTGTGAAATCTTCTAGGCTTTTTTTGTTATGGTTTTGAAAACTCTTTGACAGGGATCAAAACTTCTTTAAATATGTATGTTGTGATATCTGAGAAATACTTTTAAGAGCAGAAACCAAGTATTTCAAAGCTCTAGATCTTTGTTCGCTTGTCATTTCAAATCTGATTTTGTTGCCGTGTCAGACCCCTGCGTGCTTTTTAAGGATGCACTTGTTTTTATCTAGGTAGGGTAAGCCTGTTTGTATTGCTGTGTGAGATTAATAATGATAACTTGAGCAGTTCTTTCTTTTTCTACTTGCCTTTCTATATCGTTGCTTTTTTTTGTTCTGCTTTGCTTTAGCTATTATTTCATAAATCGGAAAAATCTCTCTTAGAATATTTTCCCTACTTGCAGGTGCATCGTTTGGTGGTAGTGAGCGAAGCAGATAGCATTGTGGGTATCATCTCCCTTTCTGACATTCTACAAGCTTTGGTACTCACACCAGCAGGTATGGATGTTGCCTTCTGAGCTTTGCAATAAGTGTTTGGTTGGGACCAAAGGTATAGCCTGCTGGTTTAAATTTGTTTGCTGATGACAATAACAAGTCTTACTCCTACCAACAATTTTGTTTTTGAAGTTTCATAACTGCTTGATCATATTTTTCATATATACTTTCATTTCTCTTCAGGAAAAACTTGGCCAAAAACTGTCAGTCTTTGTTCCCTCTGGAACGCATGCAGAAGTTTAATGAATGTCATTGCAGTTCATGCATCTGCTTTTTAGAAAAATGGACTTGGTTAATGCTTTAACAGGAAAGAAAGGATGAGGTCTGAAGACTGCGTGTTTAGACATCTGCCTCAGGCTACCTTTCCCATCTTCCTCAATTTCTGCACTCCTGGCAAAGTGCTCCTAGAGTGGACACAGCTGTGCTTTCCACTAGCTCTCCAAAACCACCTCCTTGGAGCACTGCAGTTGTTCAGCTGTAGCTTGGCACATCTGTGTCAGTAAGAGACCTCATCCTAGACTGACAGAAGTATTCCAGTAGAAATCTCTAGTATGTTGTTAAACGTGATCAGGTCCCCTCCAACAAGAGTTTCCAACAAAAGGTGTAATTATTTCTACTACTTGTAAGTTTGTTTGGTTTATTTGTTTCTTTTTGCCTAAGTTACTAATCCGCTTCATTTTCTTAATTGTAACTTCTCTGTGATCACATAAATGACTACAGTGTCACAAGAACTAAAGCAAAGCCTTCTTTCCGTTTTGAGAAAGACGGAAAATGTCCTAAGGATTCAAGTATTACCTTTAAAAATATTGGGCTAAGCAAAGACCTGATAACATCCTACAAAAAAGAAAGTCTAAATATAAGCTTAATTGGAGTCTTTTGCTTGCGCTGATAACATGATAATGAAAATGTTTTCTTTCTCCATAGATTTAAACAAAGTTAATTGTAGCTTTTAAAAACAGTAAAATTTCTCCTCTTAAGAAGTAGCGATTGGTGATGCTGCAAGATGTACTGTGTCAGTGCACCTGGTCCATTAATGACCTGGAAGAGCAAGTAACCCAGTTTTCTGTGGAAGCCATGGATGAATATGAGAAATCAGCCCAAAGGCCTGATTGAAATGGACTCCTTGCCTAGAAGGAGAATGGAGGGGTAGATACAACTCCTAAGAGAGAGCTATAAGGAAAGGTAGGCCGAGGGGGGCCCTCCAGGCAGAGAGGGGGTTGCTCCCCTGAGGACTGGAGGGAAGTGCTGCCTCATCCGAGGAGGGTAAAACATTTAGTTATTGTCAATGGAGCAAAGTTTAGACACACAAGATTAATCTAGCTGTGCACAAACTAAAAGATTTGTTATACTGGATTTACACAGACGCTTAAGGACAGCTCTGTGAGCTGATATAACAGTGCCCTGTAATTGAAAAGAGGAGTTCCTGCTCCCCGTGCTCTGAGACATGGGCTTCTGGCGCTTAGCCTGCGGCAGCACCTGCATTCATGAGACCCCTCTATGAGCTGCTTTAACTCCCTGATCTAGCAGAAAACTGACCCAGCCAAAGAGCTGCACCGTTTTGCTGGTTTAGCAAGCTAAGTTGGCTTGCAGAAGGGTCCAGTGAGCACAGGAGATAGAGCTACAGAAGAGGCGGGATTGTGCCACTGGAAGAGATGGGGCACGGAAGGTGCATATTAGGAGCAGTTAGGTGTTAGACTGCAGTTCCACAGGCAACTGGGCCAGTCTAAGGCGGGGATTTATCTGCATAGCAGACTATCTGCATTTAATCAGCTCTAGTTGATGGAGTTTAGTGGGTGATTTGGCTCTTAAAGCAGGTGCGTAAGAATGATCAGATAAATCATGCCCTAAAAGTGTCCATTTCTCCTCAGTGACAAGAGAGGATAATGTATTGACTGACAGGAATTAAGATCAGTTTGCCTTAGAACAAAACATCAGTTCTGATGTGAAAACTTGATGTATTTAATGGAATTTTCAGTGTTTGACTCCAGCTCCAGAGGCCAGGAATCTCTTGCCAGCAACCTGGAGTTACTACTTGTCACATAGTAGTAACTGGCAAGAGATTCCTGATTTCTGGAGTTGGATGTTGAAGCCAAACTCACAACAGGGTTCAGTCATTGCCCAGGAGGTAGCTAGTTTGAGTAACTGGGGAAGAGGTGAGATGCTACGCAGCTCTGAGAAGTTCTTCTGAACAGGTCTTTCAGATGCTTACTCTAAAATCTGTCTCTGAACCAGGAGAAATTGGTCCATCCATGTAATGTAGTTAAAATAGATTGTTCTCAGATAGGACCTCGTTTTGAGGCTGTTTGGATGATTACTCTCATCTTTTAAGCAGACAGGTAGGTTTTGTTTGATTTGGGGATTCTTTTGTTTGCTTGGAGAGACGTGTTTCCCTCCCTCTCCCCTGTGCTGGGAGTTTCGGAAGGCAGCTCTAGTAACTTTACAGAGGAGTGTTACTTAGAGGATTACATCTGCATCGCCAGTAAAGCGAGAAGCAATAGCGGCCTCAACACCTTCCTCACTTCCCTGATGTTACCATTTCCTAATCCTGAAGTATATTCTTTATAAATGGTACTAAGATTCTGATACTTGGTGAGGCAAAGTTGCAGCATTCAGTGTGAGCAATGCTTTGCCATGATTCAAGCTGCCTGCACTGGGGAAATCACATGTGCTTTCCTCTTCTGTTAACAGGTGCCAAACAAAAGGAGAATGAAAGTGAATGACTGCTGTGAATGTATAAACGTTTGTAGGAGAACTTGAACAAAGTTTCTGGGTCAAGTTTGTCTCAAGAACAGTGACTGCAATAGAACAGAGCAGAATGGTTGAGAATGTGTATTGGGACTTAGTGATGGATGATGAGTCTATTCCCCCCAGTGATGTCGCAGAAAAGCAGCATGACAAAAGCTTATGTTAAAATGTAGGCTTGTATTTCAAAATGTCTTCAAAACATTTGCTGGAAGACTTCACATGATGTCCTTCATTAAAATGCACTGTATTCTGAAACTCTTTCATTTTGTATTTGACAGAAGTCACTGGTCAGCAATGGATATATGTGACATAAGGCAAGTGTATGGCATATTCATATCATAGTGCCTTATGTCAAAATACAGCAATATGTCATCACTGTTGCCCATCACTGTCAAAGGAAGTATTGTGCTAAACGAGACACTGTATCTGAATGTGAAAGTCTTTAAACCTAAAACCAAATCAGTTTCAGTTCTCATTAGATTTGTCATAAAAGCTGTAATTTGAATATTGGTAGACTTCTTTAAAACTTTAATGACAGTTTTGTGTTAAATGTTGCATTCTGAACTGAGATGTAAAACGAGGCTGATTTTGAAAAAACAGCTTTATTTATTTTTACTTTCATGACAATTTTTTACACATCTTTGGTGGATAGCTAAAATTTCACCATATCCATTAATAAACTGTTGATTGTTATACAAACAAGCGGTAGATTTTTCTCATTATTTAAAACTTTGGAGTTGCAGAAGCTGTGGCCTGTTGATCAGTCCATATTACTTAAGTTGAAGATTCCAGAAGCATGCATCAAAAGTGTTCTGTACTGTAATACACAGGCACCATGGAGGAAATCAAGTGCCAGAGAACAATGCTTTCCTCTGTATTAAAGTATAAAACGACGTTTGTAAGACTAAAATGAACCTTTTTATTGTATATGATTTGTACAGAAGTGGAGGAGTGAGGAAAGCTGTGGGTTTTTCTGCTAATGTAAATGCACTGTAAAGTTTGAAAATGAGATTTTTTTTTTTTATAATTGTAGATTCTTGTAGATGGACGAAATTAAACCCTACAACATCAGTTTGTTTTTAGCAGTTCTTGCTCAGTTCTTTTGCATGTATGAAATGTACGTGCATTTTGGTTAGCGTAAACTAAATACAGAAGCAGTCTTATTTTCCTTCTACTTTAAAGGCAACTTATCTGGTGGAAGAGTACATGTAACATTTATTTTGAAATTACTATACTTCTAGTGTGAAACTGCACTAGAGCAGTGACAGTAAATTGGCTAGTTGTGGGGTTTTTTTCCAGGTTATAAACACTGAGGTAGAATGCTAAGCTTTCAGTTATTAAAAACATCACATTTCATAATATAAGAGTAATGAAAAACCTCTTCCTAAAAACTTTTTTTCACTTGCTTTAAGAACGTAAATTTTGATCTAAACGTGTGGAAACTTTGTTCCTAGTGGCCTTTTCTCCTGTATAAAATCTGAATATCCGTACGGTACACAATGGAGAACTGTTCTCGTACACTTTATCTCTCTCTCCTCTCTGATATTCTCTGGAAAACATTGGCAAGCTTTCTCCGGCACCTTTTCTGACTAGATAAACAGTGACTGTTCCCCGCAGTCCTGCGAGATATGAAATAGCTGCTTTGGCTTGACAGTAGCAACCTCAGTGAGTGGGACTGTTTGCTCCCCTCATCGATGACATCAGCACAGCTCCGGGCATCTTTGTGGGGGGAAATGGAATGACAGAAACTAAAAAATAGTGACTCTTGTTCTCTGTATGGTGTGTGGAGGGGATGGATTGTGGTAGGTTAGAACTTCATGTCAAGGATGAGCAGTAGTACTGCCAGACCTGCCACATGGTTTGGGTGACCTGCCAGATGTCACCCAAATAGTATAGATGCAACTTCTTGAAAGTCCAGAGTTGCAAAATATTCCTCTAGAATTTGCATTATAGACTTCTCCAGAAAATAGGATTTCAGAGTTTGCCCAAATGTATCACTGGGATACCTACCTACCTACCTACCTACCTACCACTACTCTACATGATGAGCATATTCTTCGGCCCTGTATTCAGGGCACCTGTGAAGACCATGAAGGGTTGAATCACTGATCATTTTTTTGCTTCTTCTTTTTTTTTTTTTTTTTAAAGCACAAAGTCTTTTGGCCCTATCTCATCCAGACAACTTTGGGCTTGTCTGCATGAATTAGTATGCAGAAAACCAGAATGTGAATTTGCAGTTTTCTAACAACCATGTGCAGACTTCCCATGCTAACATTATTACAAAATGCTGTTCACCTGTTGGGGAGAAATGGCTAGCAAAATTATAGCAAGCAATCTCAGTGCTACAAAAACGTGTTTGGAGACTTTCAGGAATTCATAGTTCTGAAGTTTGAATTGTTGAGAAACACAATTGTGGTATAATTCCACAAGCATGAAAAAACAGCAGTGCTACCAAAAAGGCATGGTTCCGTACCTCCTTTGTACTTGTGCTGCCAGAAGTACTTGTGCTGATGCAGCAAACAAAACTAAGGAAATTATGTAGGTGAAAACTATCTAGGTTTATTTTAATACAGATCAGTTTACTGTAGAGCTAGAAAAGTGCTTGTTCCAGCATAAGGAAGGGGTAAGAGTAAGTAAATGAGGGTAGAGAAAGGAGGGGCACTCAGCAGCAGAGCAGCATATACCAAATAAAAGTGACAGTCAGACTAAAGTTTTGTTCCTTTCACGTGGCTCATGAGATGCTTCAGCCATGGAAAAGAGTGGATAGTTAGATAGGGATGTTATTCAGTTTAAATTCTCATGAAACTTTTCTCTGGACAGCCAGCAAGCGATACCTATAGATCTGAGATTGTGGCAGTGACTCCAGGCACTCCCTTTCTTTAGATGAATTGGGGTGATTACATTGCATTGGATGTCTCCTATGACTGCTGAAAGAATATTGAATAGTGCAGGCGATCCTCGGTCCTGAAGGTGAGAGATGCTGCAGAAGCGGATTCTGTTTTAACCTATAGGATTATAGAGTATACAAGACTGATTTCTGTGCTTCCCTGTGCGTTTCCTGCCCAGCAAGAGATGTCTGCAAAACAGCTTTGCTATGAGGGTGACTGAGCGCTGGAACAGGTTGCCCAGAGAGGTTGTGGAGTCTCCTTCCCAGGAGATATTCAGAAGCTGCCTGGATGCGATCTTGTGCAACGTGCTCTAGATGACCCTGCTTGAGCAGGCAGGTTGGACTAGCTGACCTCCAGAGGTCCCTTCCAGTCTTGGCGGTTCTGTGATTCAAGTACTTCTTGGTCTTGGGAGCAGATTAACTGGGTATTTGACCTACTTTGGATATTTGTAGCTGTTTCGGTGTAAGACACTATTTCTTGGTAAAACCATGTTTTGGTTTTTATTAGACTTCAGCCTTCAATATTTTTCAGCATCAGTAGAGATACTGTGAGATTTTGCTTCTGAAGGGAAAGTTATCATTTGCTGACATTGAACATTTGACTGACTATCAAAACTTTTTCCTTCTGTTTTACTTCTGGAATGCCTCCAGTTAAAAGGCCTGAGGTCTGTAACCCCCCACAGATAGTATCTGCTGTTCACTATGAAACTGAACTGCAATTGTTGAGTCTCTGAGGCCTATTCATCTTCTGGTTCTAAGGAATATTATTCTGTGGGGAATATCTGGATAACACAGAAAGAACCAGGATCATTTTCAGAGGCTTGAGCTCTTCTCTTCACAGCAGACAAGCAATCTGACTGAAGTAATTCCAAGACTGAATTGCACTGAGAGCGTGCTTTGCCATCTTTCAAGAGAGCGTAGGGGTAAGTTGGAGGCTTCACTTTTGGTCCAGTTAGATGTGAAACCAATTCTTACGTGCATTTTTAATCCTTTCATATGGCAGCCTATTTAACTGCTCATATCGAACTCTCCAGTTCGTTTCAAAGTAGCCAGCTTACTTCAGAAGTTTCTATGAACTTTCACTTACGCTCCCACAGCGAACACTTAATAGGAGGAGTACTTTCCAAGGGAAGATGTCATGTCAAATGATTTAGTACTACCCTTGTTTCCACATAATGCACATTATGCAAGGCGAGTGTTCTCCAGACTCTTATTTACACTAATTTCTTAAGGTCTTAATTTCAATGCAGTCCTCAGTCATTTTTTTAGTATCCACCTTTTTTTTCCTACATACAGTCAGAGTTATTCCCACTGAGGTGAATGGGAATAGAAAGTGACCGGTAGTCATACATTAAACTGATTCTTTTAAAAAAAAAAAAAAAAAAAGGAAAAAAAAAGTCTCTATAGGGTGCCTCCCTGCTAGCTGCATGCCTAGAGCCATATGGCAGTAGCCTCTGTGCAGGTCTGGGAATTGCAGGTACAATTTAGTACTGAATTAATTTAAGGGGTTTTT